AGTTCCCGTGCCCGATTTCAAAGTCCTTACGCACTAACATCACTGTGGCGTGGAGCTGGGCGAACCTCATTCCGGTGTTTTAGAATGTTATCCCTTGCCATATAAGCTGAAATCATTACCTTGTGTCGCCGTTGCCTTTCAGATCCATCTATTCTTCAAAATGAAAAGATCGTAAAGTTGCGCTGAGATCTGGTTGAGTCTAAACATATTCACTATCGATGAATGCCATGTGAAACTTTTAGATTTAATGAGGCCCCAACTCTCGAAGCACTTCACTAGAGGACAAACCTAAAATGCCGCGTTATTTCGGAGAAAGAAAAGAGAAAAACGAGAACGGCAAAAAATTCGTGGCTTGGAGCTGACGCGCTCTAGCGTAAACGTGCGGGAAGGTTAAATATTCAATTGCAATGTATAAAATGATTTTAAATTCATGTTTGTTTTCTTGACATTTGTTTTCTTAGGCCATGAAAACTCTGCGAACTTCTTCTTTTCCATAACACCATTCCAGCTAATCGGGTCAAAAATGGATGAGTTCTTGTCGATGTGTAATGCAGACGAAGATGGAGAAGAACAGCTTTCATGCGCTTCTGCTGTCGACCAGGAAATCGCACCAGGTCATGGGTAAGGCTTTAAACTGAAGATAAGTTTGAGAATACTTCTTTTCATTATTCAGTACTTCACCAGAGAGACCGGAAGACCCGGCACTTGATGATGAGGCTCCGCTGGATCCATCTGAGATTCAAAGTTAGTGAATTTTTATGCTTTAATTTGTGGATTTTTATTTCAAAAACCCGATAATTATAATGTGTTGCTATGTTTTTCTTCTAGAGCAACTTGAGGAACTTGAGAGAAAGAAGCAAGAACTTATTAAACGAGCGCGTGCTACGGTTTTCGGCCCAGAAAATAGGAGCGGAACGCCAAAGAAATCAAAAAGTGGTCTGTCTGCAGCTTTGCAGCTTATTAAGCTTTCTGGCATTGTCTTTCTTAAAGGCTTTTCTTAAGGTCCAAAACTAGTCGATTTGGATTTTGCTGACACTCCTTCTACGTCTACAGAGTGCCGTCCAGCAGCTCATCATGCTGACGAAAGCGATGACGAATACATAGATGATAAAAAGTAGGTTTTGCGGTATTCTACGTTTTTTATATGGTCTGTAAGTGTGTGAAGTGATTTTATCTCATAACTAACCCAAGAGTTTAACT